GGAGGAGGAGGAGGAGGAGTTCAAGAAAAGAAAAACCTTAAATGAGACCAAGGGATGGTTTTCATTTGTGGTTGCTGATGTTTCGCATGTCAGTGGTGTAGGTGAATCTGTTCTGGTTTTTCTTTCTTTTGAGGTTTTAAAGAAGGTATCCAGCAAGCTTAACCCAGCATTCAAAATAGGTTGCTCCTTTAAAGTTAGAATCACTCAGAGATGATTCACCAGCTCAACTGACATAGAAGCTACCAGTTGCCACAGCAGACATAAGCATGGAAGGTTTGTCACCTAGGACAGAGGTGTATAGACGTCAGCCTTCTGGGATTTGCTTTGTTTAGTATCTTTCAGAAGTTCACCACAAGAGACAAGTGCAAGGCAGTGGCTGAAAGAGACAGAGACAGATGCAAAATAGTTGTTAGGCAGCTGGAGCAATTACCCTACTACACCCTTTGACCATGAGCCTGCATATACAAGTACCATACCCTTCAAAAGAAGCATAACTTTGTAAGAAGCTATTGGAAATCCACTGCAGATCATTCAGAGATCTGTCAGCGATCTACCTTCTGCCTTTCCCTGATTTAGGAGGAATGTAGAAAAATGTCACAGTAAAAGACAAAAGGGCAGCAGTGATGCATGCTGTGGGTACACAGGACGAAGCCATGTGTGGGCAATGTGCATTCCCCACAAAGCTGTTTTTGTAGGCCTTGATCCCTCTGACTCCCTGAATCACTTGTGATGGAATCGTTTGATCAAAAAGAAAAGGTGAATTGCTACTCCTGGAAAATTCCAGGAATGATCATTCATCTTTAAAATAGGTTTCAGCTATCCCTACTTTTTAGTATTAAAAAATATTCAATTCCCCCCCCCCCCCCCATCAAACATGGATTTCTGGCTATTCAAGCTTTGATTTTCACTATTTTGTTGATTTTTTGGGTGGTCTGCATGACCCCCAGAGGCTCTAGAACAGCGATCTCCAAACTCTGGCCTTCCAGATGTTTTGGACTTCAGTTCCCAGAATCCCATATCATTGGTTAAGGTAGCTGAGGCTTCTGGGAGCTGAAGTCCAAAACAGCTGGAAAACTAGAGTTTCAGAAACCCTGCTCTAGGGGGTCTAATGTTGCCCATGGACATGTTGCAGTTGCCTATTCCTGGTCTCTGAATCCATTGCTAGTCCTATCTAGATTAGACCCATTGAAATCAGTAGAATTTACACAAGTTTAGACTAACAAATGCCATTCGTTTAAGTGGGTTGACACTGAAATTAGTTCTGAGAATGCTGTTTTATAATTGGTCAGACCATTTCTCCATCTGTGTCATCTGGTTTTGAATGATTTCCCAGGATCTTTCCTATCATCTGCTACCAAGTGCTTTTAGCCAGAGATGTCAGGGGTTGAATCTAGGAGGGAATGTACGAATGTGACACAGTTTGTTGTATCATCAGGCTACATACAGCCCTGCCTCAAAGGCATGTTGAGAGATAAGAGGAAATGACTGTCAGAGAAATCAAACTAGCCAGCCAGCATCTTTGATTTCAGTTCTCTGCATATAACATAAACCAGTAAGGGACAGAAAAGCTGTTATGTCTGCCTGAGGTTACAGTACAAATGCTGTAAAAGCCATAAAACTCAGCCTTAATCTTTGGTACCACAAGGCCACCACTACTTGGAGCTGATTTTCCTTAAAGCAAAAATAATCTTAAGAGCTAGCACACTCTTGCCAAGAATCTAGTTAGTGTGTTTTAATGAAGTCCCTGTAATTGGTTGGAATGCCACAAAAGCAATTCGAATATATGTATGTGTTTGTTGTTCTCACTCTGCTTTGGGGGAAAAAAAGGAGGATTAATTTCCTGGAATTCCACAAAGAATTGTTTTTAATGCTTATTTGGACAAATTTTGGTAAGTCTAAAAGTTGATGAAGTGTGTATCTCCAACAATGAATCGTCTTTCCCTGCTTAGAATTAATTTGCTTTCATAATTTGTGAAATGGAGATAGGGTGTTTTAAAGTCATTTGAAGGGAAAGTTTGGAGAGACCAGGAGCTGTGACTGGACTTCTAGGACTGGATTTGCAATCTCTCTTTCGATCAGGCTGTCTCCTGATCAACCCCCTTTTTTTGTATCTGCAAGACTGCTTTTACTTTGTGGATTAGATGCAGAGGTTAGCTTCATCCTGACGTTTCACGTTCATTGTCCCCTTGTGTTTCCCCTGATTTAAGGAGGATATGTGGGGGAGGGAGGTGTTTTTCTGTCTGTTTTAAATAAGATTTAAATATTTAACCCATTGGACTAAGGCTGTAATCATCTTTAGATTTCCTGATTATAATAATAGCTTGAATCCAGACTATGTCATTGCTTGGAGTTTGTTGTTGTTATGTGCCTTCAAGTTGACTCTGACTTGTGGCAACCCTTAGATATTTTTTGGCAATATTTCTTTATAGGAAGTTTGCTACTGCATTCCTCTTAGCCTGAGAGAGTGTGACTGCTCAAGGTCACTCAGTGGGTGTCCATGGCTGAGTGGAGATTTGGACCGTGGTCTCTCAATCTTAAACTGACACTTAGAATTTTATATCATGTTGACAACCCAATGTTTGGAGCAGACCTATGGGAATGAATGGAGCTTAAGGTGGTCAGGACTAACTTGTTCCATGAATCAAACTATTCTACACTTTACCCAGATTGAATCCAATCCAATAATCCTTCTTTTTAGTTTTGGGCAGGACATCAGAAACAAACCAGGAATCAAGCATGGCTATGGATGATGTTCATTGATTTTAGACATCTGTCATCTTACCATAGGGCAGAACCAACATGTTGAGGAGAGTCTAGGAACCCTGCACTGTGTAATGAAAGAGTCAATAACAGAACGACCCATTGCCTCACCTTATCTCCCATTCAATTGCTTCGTCATGTGGTCCTGGCATCAGTTTCAGTGTTAATCCCTTCTACTTTCTATTGCCATTTTCTTAGTGCTTTTGACCTAGACAATAACATATTTGAATGCAGGGTGTATTAGTTTCTACTCCTGCCCTTCCTCTGAATTGGCTTTGGGATGATGCCATGGGGTTGGAGTAAAAATAATGCTTCCTAGCTATGCTAAATTAATTGTTAGTCCTATTTGTGGGGTCCCTGGTGTTGAAAGAACTGAAGCAATGTTACCAAGCACCAGGAAGAGCATAAATGCCACTGATAGTAAGTGGGTAAACACCTGGACGGTGGTCCTTCCTCATCTCTACAGCATTGTGTCAACCTTACAGTTTGAAAACTGGTTGAAAGAGATATTTTGGCTCTGCCCTTTAACAAACAAAAAAATCCTCACCGTGGCAAAATGATCCCTATATATTCTGGATGCTTGCTGGAATGAATGGGCTTTGTTGTACGTCTTTTTCTGAAAACTAACAAGGATGAGTGCATTGACTTTCCTCCTCTTACAATGCATCCAAAAGCCTGGAAGCCATGGTGGAGAATGCCGTGCTTTCTTTCTACGGTAGTCCCAGGGGGATATATTCAAACATCAGAAGACAAGCCAGAGAAAACTGTATAATGCTTTCAGACCCAAAACAGCGAGAGAGCAAGAGAGCAAGCACCGTTTTAAGAGGAAAGAAATGAATCATCAGTTTTGAACTCTGGAAACTGACGGTGTTGGAGTGCTTGTTTTCTGTAAAAGGTATTAATGACAAGAACAGCCTCAGACAGGCAGGCTTAGTTTGATTTATTAATCAATAGCAAAATAACATTACAGGCTAATCAGCATTACAATTTAGTAAGAAAAAAAATACAAGAGGCAATTATATCCTGTCAGAGGAACACAGCAGATTAACATTTCTTCGAAGAATGCAAAAACACAAACAATATTTATAGATCAGCAAGACAAAGCTAATCTCTCTTATCCATAATCCTCTTAAATAGAAATTCCATTCACAATCGCTTGCCCATCTTCTGTGTGTCATTTCACTTTCTCCTTTTCAGCTGATACATAAGACAAACCAAAGTGAAATGATCCAAAGGCTTTTCTAGTTTGGTATACTTTCCCCTCATTTGTGAACCATGGTTAGTCTATATGATTTAGCAGGATGGGCCCAAGTGTTACTGAAAGTCACACTTATTTAGTTTAGCTGTTAAAGGGAAGCACAAACTGTTTATTGATCTATCAGCTGCAATAAAGAAACCAACTAATTGTACAGGACCATTCAGTCCATAAATTAAGTGATACAGCCATGCCTGAGTTAACATGGCCTATGAGAAATAAGCTTCTTTTTACAAAGTCTTTTTATATCTTCCCAGCCCTTCTTTTATAATAATAATAATAATAATAAATTTTATTTATAACCCGCCCCTCTGCTCAGCAATCGGGGTGGCGTACAACAGATTAAAAATAAAACAGATAAAAACATTCCATCCTCCCCCTCCCTAACCACCTACCCCTTAAAACAGGATTAAACTATTAAAGAATTAAAATCTTTTCCTCTTTCTGTCCAGTTGGATTTTTTTATACAACAACAGCATGGAGATGATGGTGAAGGAGGGCTACAGAAACACAGACTCCCTCCTCCCCAATCTTCCAAAGTCGCTCAACCCCTCAATATTTAAATCATTTTTATGCAATTTTCCCTTGAGGAGACCCCCTCAATATTAGCCAACCCCCCCATCTACTCTACCCCCTTAGAAATCCAAATGCCTGTGTTTTTGTTGGAGTCCCAAAATGGGATTCCCACTTTGATGACATATCACTTTCAGCCACCATTTTGAGAAGGAGTCTGAAGAAAGATGCATTGGAGATGCTTTGGTATGCTAGGAGGTATCTGGTTGAGGGAATTTTAGGAGAAATTTGTCCCCTCCATCCCTGCAATTGCCCATCCCTAAGAAAAGCATAGAGAAAACAAGAGGAGAGGACACTCATCTCTTTGGCCCCAGCAATCACAAGTTTTGGCCTTGTTTTGTTCCTACCCTGAGATGTAAGCTTTGGGATAAGGGAAGGGCAAATTAAACGTCTCCATGGGTCAGATTAGAGTGCCAGCATGGCATAGTGGTTTGAGTGTTGAACTATGATTCTGGAGACCAGGGTTCAGTTCCCTGCTTGGCCATGAAACTAACTAGATGACCTTCGGCAAGTCACACTCTCTCAGCCTCAGGTGAAGGTGATGGCAAACCTTTTCTGAGCCAGTCTTGCAAAGAAAACCCTGTGATAGGTTTACCTTAGGATCGCCATAAATCGGAAATGACTTGAAGGCACCACTACCACCACCAACATGGGTCAACTTGGGCTTCCCTCTCCTTGCTTTAGTGAGCATGGAGAAATGGTAGTCCTACAGAAGTTAGTAGACTATAACTCCCATAATCCCTGATAATTTTTGGCTATGTCAACTAGGATGATGGAAGGTAGTGTCCAAAAATCTGGAAGGCCAGAGGTTCCCCCCTCCCATCCGTTCCACATATGGCCCTTATCTATATTCTATTGAGGGTAAGGCCTTTCCTCCCCTCCCCATAACTCCACAATGAAAATATCTGTTTCTCAAACATCACTCACAACCTCCCCCCGAGTGACTGACCAACCTCCCGCCCCCACAAAACAAGTTTTTCAATGTTTGATTTATGGCTAGACCTTTTGCATTTTCCATAAAATATTAAATGCATCCAAATATTGACTCTCACATTTTTGATATATTTCATGCCTCATTTGCCATCGGAGTCAAGGACAACTTCACATTTTCTTTTGGCACAGGATCAAGATGTAGGTAATTTTTTAAATAAATTCTATTGTTTTATGCCCCCTCTTCCTTTTTACCTCTGTTGCTGTTGATATTAAGGCTTTGCAACCATAGCAACTGACTTACACAGTGTGGATTTCACTTCTGATTTTGGAAGATAGATAGGAGCATATTTTTCCCCATGTACCCCACCCCCCAACTCAACCATTCCCAGAAAAAGGAGCTATTTGTATTGGGAACAGAGAGGGAAGTGAGCCTGTCAGATCTCCTCTTTTAGGAAAGAAGCACACCTGTTGTGTCTCTGGGAACCAGAGAGGAGATGGACCACCCTGCTTTGCCCTCCTGGCATCCTTAATTTTTCTCCAAATGGATGGTTTTGTTCAGATGTTCATGTGGTCTAATGAGAGGATTAGGCTGGGATTTCTAAGCAAGGTTAAAAGCAGATTCACACACTTCTTGTTAATTAGGGGGAAAAAGCTCCGCTGTTTGGCTCTCTTGCAAATTGTGCAGCAGTTTGAGGTGAGAACGGGTTATTCCCTTGTTATTGAAATAATTATTTTATCTTTTTTTTTTTTTTTTTAAAAAGAGGTGTTTGCATCTTGCTCCTTTCTGATCTTTAATCAGAATGCATTGCCCTGGCAGCTGGCGGCAGCTAGTAGGGCAATTGAGCTGCTCTGGGTTTTAGCGTGAATGTGAAAGAATCTATCCAGGGTGCTAACAGGTATTGGTAGAATAAGTCCAGCACCTTGGATAGATCTCTTCAAGTTTAGGCTATATCCTGAAGTGGATTCAGAAAGCATTGTCCTGGAGGCAGGTGGCATCTAGTAGGGCAATGGAGCTGCTCTAGGTTTTAGTGTGAATGTCAAAGAATCTATCCAGGGTGCTAACAGGTATTGGCAGGCTACATCCAGAAGTGGATTCAGAATGCATTGCCCTGGAGGCGGATGACATTTAGTAGGGCAATGGAGCTGCTCTAGGTTTTAGTTTGAATTTTAGAGGATCTATCCAAGGTGCTGACCACTATGTACAAAATAAATATCGGCAGAGTAAGTCCAGGACTTTGGATAGATCTCTTAAAGTTCTGGCTACATCCAGAAGTGGATTCAAAATGCATTCCCTTGGTGGCTAGTGGCATCTATTAGGGCAATGGAGCTGCTCTAGGTTTTAGTTTGAATATGAAAGGATCTATCCAGTGTGCCAACAGGTATATTGGCAGAATAAGTCCAGCAGCTTGGATAGAGCCCTTAAAGTTCAGGCTACAACCAGAAATGGCTTCAAAATGCATTGCCCTGGCGGCGGGTAGCATCTATTAGGACAATGGAGCTGCTCCAAGTTATAGTTTGAATGTAACTATCCAGGGTGCTAACATGTATTGGCAGAATAAGTCCAGCACCTTGGATAGGTCCCTTAAAGTTCAAGCTACATTCTGTAGTGGGTTCAGAATGCATTGCACTGGTGGCATCTAGTAGGCAGGGGTAGGCAACCTTTCCCCTTTAAGGGCCGAGGGACTTCAGCTCCCAGAATCCCAGGAGCTATTGGCCAACATGGGACTATCGGCCAACATGGCTGAGGCTTCTGGGAGCTGAAGTCCCTCGGCCCTTAAAGGGGAAAGGTTGCCTACCCCTGATCTAGGGGGTCTATGTATCTACCTAGGTGTATTTGATGTGCCAGGGCTCACCCTCTGTTCTTCTTTGCATCTGCCTCCAGACAAGAAGCAAGTAAGCTGCTTTAAAGGGTCCTCACTCTGATGCCCTAAAGTAGATGAGAAGTACCGGTAATCATTTCACTTTAATCTGGGAGCATCCCCTTCAGTTAAGATTTCTGTTTTAATTTTCAATAGGAACACAATCCTCTGTGTGTGTGTGTGTCCCTCCCTCTCTTCTTCTCTCTGTATGGCAAGCTGTGGCCATCTGTAATTGGTACTTAATACACAACACTTAATGATACCACAAGGGAATTTCTCATATTTTGGCCTGGAAACTTTAGGAGCTTGAAATCCTAGTAGCAAAGGAAGGTCGCTGTGAATGAATGGAATGAGGTGAGAGAGCCATCCCAGTGGGTTCATATGTCTTTTAATCTATGTTGTACCCAACCTTGTCTTGGGCCAAGGCAGGTAATAATAATAATAATAATAATAATAATAATAATAATAATAATAATAATAATAATAATAATAATAAATTTTCAGACATGTGCATATGTTGAATTCAAAGAGGAGCATGTTGTAGTGCTCTGAGCTTTGGACAGCAACTCTAGAGGCCAGGGTTTGAATCTTCGCTCAAGCATAAAAACCCAATGGATGAACTTGGGCAAGTCACACTCTCTCAGCCTCAGAGGACTGCACTGGCAACCCACCTTTGAAGAAACATGACAAGAAAACCCTATGATAGGTTCACCTTAGAGTTGCCATAGATCAAAAATGACTTGGAGGCACGCAACAACAACACATTTTCAGACATGAATCGATCTCTTTTTCTCATTAAAAAAAGGTGTATGTGTGTGTGTGTGTGTGTGTGTGTGTGTGTGTGTGTTATATAATGTAAGAGAAGTTTACCTTCCCTCTCCTCCTTCCCATGCTGCAAACTAATTGAAAACAACATGAATGTTAATGATGCATTTCGTGTTTGGAAGTTAGAGAGGTGATTAATATGTTGTACGTTGTATATTAACACCTTCTCAGTGGCGTAATGGAGACAAAATATATGCCGCATGATTAGGTTGTTTATTTCTCCTCTGTGTTGCTCTGGTTCCCCCGATTGCTCAACGCCTTGAAAATGCACGGCTTTAGCTTTAGAGGGCTTTGATTTAAAATACAATTTCAAATCAAGCAATAAAAGATTATTTTGTGGTCTATTAAATATATATGTACAAGCGTTGCATGTGCATGCATGTGTGTGTTTTATACAAGAGGAGTTAAGAGACGGGTTGTCAAGTGGATTATAGTGTCAGTTGGATCAGTTGCAACCTAGTAAAGGAAAGCTCTCTAGAGCGATCCCTTTGGGGGTATGATATTTGACTTTCTTGATCGCTTTGCTCAAAATCAGTTCAAAGAGTGCTGGGTCTTCATGCAAGGAAAAAACTTTCTGGTGTACATGGATCACCCCATTTGATCCCCCCTAACAACCTCATAGTAAAGTTGGAGTAGGAGGGGGAAAGTGAACCTAAGTTTCATATCATGGGACTATGACTCTGGAGACCATGGTTTTGATTCCCTACTCAGCCATGGAAACTCACTGGGTGACCTTACACATGTCACACCCTCTCAGCCTCAGAGGAAGGCAAAGGCAAACCCCCATTGAACAAATCTTGTGGAGAAAAACTCCTGATTGTTTTGCTTCAGGGTCTCCATAAATCAGACATTATTTGAAGGCACACAACCAACAAACAAGTGTGAGTTAAATATCGATACCTCAGGGAGTGGATTTGGAGATTTCTACATCCAAAGTAAACTTCATGCTCAGGACAAACAGTGGGGAAGTAGAGTCTCAGGCAGATTTAAATATATCCAGACTTTTTCATGTATGTAGAAGAGAAACAGATACATTAGGATAGATAGGCTAGGAGAGCCCAGGACTGCTCCGGCTTCATTTTCCACTCCTGTATTCCTGCCCATTTTCCTGAAAATGGAGCTGACTGTACAAAAGTGAATAGACTGATCTCCACTTGAGATCATAGTGAGCCAGATGTGACATGTTTTAGCAAAGTTAACCACACACGGCAAAGACAAAGCCAAGTATAGCAACCTTTGGTTTGACCCTCCTAATACAACTGATTAAAAAATGCTAGGTAGGAGAGTACCCTAACAGTTCTGGTGTCTCCATTACATAGTAGTTATATTAGGAAGCTGAATTATGCCAAGTTACACCTTGGATCCATTTACTTCTGTATTGTCTAAGCCAAAGGTGGGGAATCTCTTTCATCCAGAAGGCCAAATTCAGTTTCAAAAACCTTTGTGTGGGAAGATGCATTCCCTTGCTGTAGGGGACTGAAGGCAAAAAGAGTGGTGACTATTTTAATTTATACCTCTTACTAAAAAGGAGTGACCATCTGAATGACATTCAAGCCTCTGTGTGTGTGTATGAAAGAAAGAAAGAGAGAGAGAGAGAGAGAGAGATGCCCTGTAGACCTGACTTGGAGTTATTATTTCCTCAAATACTCTAGGATCTGTCTTGTTAATACACTTTTGGCCACACTTGTATGACTTGACAATAAAGAATCATTTAATTTAAACGAAAAAATCCTTGTGTCTTTGGAACAGCCCTTTTAGGTCTGTGGGAGAAAATCCATCAAGGGAAAGAGAGGTTGACAGTACAACACTTCCAGCACTTTATGATGGTTTGAAGGGCTTTGAGAATTCGGCTCTTTTTTGTCATGG